GAGGCTCAGAACCTCACCCCCCCTGCTTTGAGAGAAATCTTCTGCATCCGTGGATGTTTTATTGCCCTTGTCTAGCTTGGATTAACACATAGTCTACAGGCACACACCTGATCATCTACATTTGCTCTCTTACAACACTAAACTATGTTTTCTACCTTTATCTTGCATCTACCTACCACTTCAGCATTTTATTAAAAATAAAAATAATAATAATAATAAAGGGAGAAATGTGGGATCCACATATAAATCAAGTATAAAAATCAAACGAATATTCATATTTGACCTGATTGTTTATAGTTCATAATGCGTGATCAAAACCGAAAGTTTCTGTGATGAATGCCCTTGTACTGTTCACCATGTAAGAACTTATTCACTATGAAAGAATTCGTTCACTATGTAAGACCTTGTTCGTTATGCTTCAGAAGATTGGAGACTGACGAGAACTAGGCTTGAGATGGATTAATGATTGTGCATTGAGCACTGACCCCCCTATACAGAATTTTATTGTTGTTAACAACCATTTGATCAATAAATATGAGATAGGCCCTCTCAAAAAAAAACAAAAACAAAGCTGTGTTCATTCCAATTTTCTGGAATCTGTAATGAAAGAGTGCCTAAGCAAAGACGCCTACCATTCATTTTCAAATGCTGATTGCGCTCCTACTACGTGAGAGAAGCTGGCTCCTGGTGGGGAAATATAATTAAAAACAAAAGCTCCCAACCCCAATATCCTCTCCACAAAGGTAATAAAGTTTGTGTTATTAGTATTAAACTAGAAATCCATGAACATAACAATCAATGGGTGGAAATATATCTCACCGTTTCACGTAGCCAACCAGGTACAACCCATTACACACATATTCTCAATGTACACAGTTAACTAGTACGCCAGGAAGAGGACATGTAAGTACTAAAAAGATGTTAAGTAGTTGATCCTAACTCTACCCGGTAATTGGAAGACCCGGATGACCATCTAGGTTAGCTATGTGGTTTATCCAGAGGAAAAACACACTTCATATCTTTATGAGAAGAGTTTTGAAACTTGGAATAACAAGGCATCTACTGAAGTTAGTCTCCTGTCCTCCGGAAACTGGGAGAGAGGAGCCATCTCCCTGGGGCTGATACTCTGAAGAGCTCCCAGACCCGGAGACAGACTTACAGGTTCCAGGAGCTGAAACAAGGCCCACCTCGTCTTAAACAGGATTTACGCACATTTCAGAAAGAGGATAAAGCACAAAGACCAGTTTTCTAAAGTAAATGCTCAAAGAAAAAGGGGAAGAAGAAAGTATCTTACAGATATAATTAAGCTTATTTTAAATGTGTTTGCCTTTCCCTCCGAATATCATGAGCGCAGCCTGTAGGCATGACGAAGCTAAGCGCGCTGCAGGCGGTCGGGCAGCGCCGCCCTCGCAGAGCTATGGCCGCGGCGGGGCCGACGGTCACGGTCACAAGTAGCCGAGGACTCGGACCGGAGGGCCAAGTGTTTCCCAGGAAAGGGCCGCGGGCCTTCCGGAAGCTCCGGAACGAACAGGCTAGCCCCGGGGGTTGGGAGCTCCGGAACAGGCCGGGACCGCCACAGGTGGACCGCTTTGTCCGCCGGCGCCAGCACCCGGTCAGAGTGCACCCCACGTCGCAGATTCACCCGCCCCTCTCAGCGGCGGGCCAGCCGGACGTGACAGCGCGACGGCCGCACACGTGACCTCCAGGACAGGTCAGCTCCGCCCCTGCCGTGCCACGGCGAGTAGTAGAACCGCGCCGCTGTCTCCTGCGCAAGCGCAGCCTCTGGCTCGCGGCGGATGACGCAATCCTGCAACGCCGGCGGGGCGTGCAGTCCCAACCTCCGTGGGATCACCTGGCTCTGCCTGAATGGCCTCCGCAGTCAGACGTGCGGGTGCAACCGGCCCCCGAGGCGCCGCTGGGGGCGGGGCCTCTGGGGGCGGAACGAGTCCTGTCCGGCCAATCGACGGCGCCTCCGCCGGCTCCTGCCCCGCCTAGCCGGCCATCGGTCCCCGTGGGTCAGGTCCGGCGAACGCGCGGTTGTGGTGCCGGTTGGGAGGTGAGTGCGCGGTCCGCGGGCGAGGCCCTCGCTGCAGCCGCTGCCTCCGTGTGTCCGTACGGCGCCTCCGGGGGAGCGGCGGGCCCCGGGGTTGCATGAGCCGGGGGCAGCCGGGGCCGGAGGGCCAGGCCCGATCACGCGGGCGGCCCAGCCTGCACCCGCGTCCGCAAGCGGTGGTTTCGTGGCTGGGGCCTGGGCGTGGCGCCGTCGGAGCGCTAGGCCGGCTCGGCGCAGGCCCGGTTGGAGGCCGCACCCCGCAGGGTAGAGAGCCCGCGGAGGGCGGCGGACGGTGGGCGATGCCCCGCGCCGCGGTGTGGCCAAGGTGCCAGCCAGTTAGGAGAATGCAGCTGTCACCCGGCCGCACGCTTCCTGTCGCCATGACGCGCGCCTTCCCTCTCCGGGCTCGGGCGGGATGGGAAGTGACCCCACTGTGCGGGTTGACTCTGGAAGCATTGAAGCCGCGTGCAAGTCCGCACGGCTGCGAGGGCCGGCGGGCGGCGGTCTGGGGGTGGGGGCTGGTGAGTACACGCTGGGGCCGAGCGCCATCTGCAGCCTTCACGGGGCTGGGGCCGCATCAGCCGCCGCCCACTTTCAGGGCCCACCCCAACCCCCACAGCGTGTGTCCTCAGGCCGCCTGGTAAGTTCAGTCGACGTGTCGTCGCCGCTAGCGGACGCCGCTTAGGCCTCGTAGATAAGGTTTTTGCTATTGAACTCTGGATTCAGATGGCAATGTTTTCTCGTCTGGGGGCTCTGTGGTTGTGGGGAGCCAGTTGTAGCCCCAGGTACAGAAAGCAGTATCACTGATGGTACCCCAGAAGTACAGATGGGTGAGACTGGGGTTCTATGGATGGTGAGGAAGAGCTGTGCTCTAGACATGCAGACTCTGGGGAGACCTTTGGATGGGTGGGTTAGTTTTAGGAAGCAAGTCAACTTGGAAAAGAAAGGTAGATTGAAGAGCAGATGGTTGGGGTTCATGGGAGGAGAAAGCACGTACTTAGGGAGTCTGAGGAGAGTGTAGAGCCAGTAGAAAAGAAGTGACCCAAGATGGTGTGAAGTGCCATGGAAGCCAACGAGAGGAGAGCTCAGGACGGGGCTGGTCTGCAGTGTCCACTCTGTGGGAAGATCTGGGGAGTGAGGGCAGCTCTTTACATTTGGCTGAGGTGAGGGGTGTGCTGAGCACATTCCCTGGATCCCACCAGGCTCAGGATCAGGTCCCATTGACTATGTTAGTCCTTATCTATGAGATGGGGATAATCATAGCCCCTAGGCCAAGTAACAACTAGCTGACAAGTGTCAGGCAATGCAGTAGGCACTTGAAATGTTTGCACTCACTGAAGCCTCACTGTCAGCCTTCTACAGAGAAATTACTTATAAAAGCTGTGGGACTTGGATTAGTCCAGTAGTGTGATGGCGATTCAAACGGTGAGGCGTTTAAGGGTGTTAGAAATGGCCCTAGATGGTGAACTTTCCATGAACTTTTCCTCATGGAAAAACAGCTCCTCAGTTGTGTTTGAAAGGCAGACTCTCTAAGGCTTGCACCCAGGGCCAGCCATGTGTTTTGCTTCAATTATTTGGTTTCCAGATCAAAGAACGAGATGTTATTGTTGCTATAAATTCTATGACAGTTCTATGGTCTGTGTCTTTAAGAGGCCTCGTAGATAAGGTTTTTGCTATTGAACTCTGGATTCAGATGGCAATGTTTTCTCGTCTGGGGGCTCTGTGGTTGTGGGGAGCCAGTTGTAGCCCCAGGTACAGAAAGCAGTATCACTGATGGTACCCCAGAAGTACAGATGGGTGAGACTGGGGTTCTATGGATGGTGAGGAAGAGCTGTGCTCTAGACATGCAGACTCTGGGGAGACCTTTGGATGGGTGGGTTAGTTTTAGGAAGCAAGTCAACTTGGAAAAGAAAGGTAGATTGAAGAGCAGATGGTTGGGGTTCATGGGAGGAGAAAGCACGTACTTAGGGAGTCTGAGGAGAGTGTAGAGCCAGTAGAAAAGAAGTGACCCAAGATGGTGTGAAGTGCCATGGAAGCCAACGAGAGGAGAGCTCAGGACGGGGCTGGTCTGCAGTGTCCACTCTGTGGGAAGATCTGGGGAGTGAGGGCAGCTCTTTACATTTGGCTGAGGTGAGGGGTGTGCTGAGCACATTCCCTGGATCCCACCAGGCTCAGGATCAGGTCCCATTGACTATGTTAGTCCTTATCTATGAGATGGGGATAATCATAGCCCCTAGGCCAAGTAACAACTAGCTGACAAGTGTCAGGCAATGCAGTAGGCACTTGAAATGTTTGCACTCACTGAAGCCTCACTGTCAGCCTTCTACAGAGAAATTACTTATAAAAGCTGTGGGACTTGGATTAATCCAGTAGTGTGATGGCGATTCAAACGGTGAGGCGTTTAAGGGTGTTAGAAATGGCCCTAGATGGTGAACTTTCCATGAACTTTTCCTCATGGAAAAACAGCTCCTCAGTTGTGTTTGAAAGGCAGACTCTCTAAGGCTTGCACCCAGGGCCAGCCATGTGTTTTGCTTCAATTATTTGGTTTCCAGATCAAAGAACGAGATGTTATTGTTGCTATAAATTCTATGACAGTTCTATGGTCTGTGTCTTTAAGCAAATTAGAAAATGACCTAGATAAGTAATTACTGTTTAATGCATTTCATTAATCATAACTTTAACCATGTATATTTATCATCACAGAAAACTTCAGTGACATTTGTTTTTCATGAAAATATTGTGAATATGCATAAGGACTTCAGAAAAACTTCTAAGAAGTGAAGTGTGATTTGAATCTTTTTTTAATTTGAATCTTTATGGGAAAAGTAATGTTTAGGTTATTCATCAGTTTATATCCCCTAAAGAACTGAAGTAATCATCATAATTTTTAATCCTTTTACTTCAGGGGTTTTTCATGCATGAATAATTCTAGTTTGTGTTTTCAAAGCTGCTTTCGGAAAGAAGAAACATGGAAAGTGGTGCAGTTCTGCTAGAATCCAAATCCTCACCGTTTAACCTTCTGCATGAAATGCACCAACTGCGTCTTCTTGGTCACCTGTGTGACGTGACTGTCAGTGTGGAGTACCAGGGAGTCCGTGAAGAATTCATGGCCCATAAGGCAGTCCTGGCAGCCACTAGCAAGTTTTTCAAGGAGATGTTCCTTAATGAGGAGACTGTGGATGGTACGAGGACTAACGTCTACTTGAATGAAGTGCAAGTTGTTGACTTTGCTTCATTTCTCGAGTTTGTGTATACCGCAAAGGTCCAGGTGGAAGAAGACCGGGTGCAGCGAATGCTGGAAATGGCTGAAAAACTAAAATGTTTGGACTTATCGGAAACGTGTTTTCAGTTAAAGAAACAGATGTTGGAGTCAGTACTTTTGGAGTTGCAGAATTTCTCTGAGTCTCAGGAGGCAGAAGGGAGCAGTAGCTCCCAAGTCACCATTGCTCCTATTGCCAGAGCAGGTGCTGTGGACAGGCCTCTCGCCAATGGCCTTGCAGACTCCTCAGATCCCCTGATGGGGAGAATCAGCAATGGCATATTGCCAGATACGCCCCCCAGGAAGTCCAAGGAGAAACCAGACAAGAAAAAAGATGTAGTCAAGCCACCCTACCCTAAAATCAGAAGAGCTAGTGGAAGGCTGGCTGGAAGAAAGGTATTTGTGGAGATCCCTAAGAAGAAATACACAAGAAGACTCCGAGAACAGCAGAAAAGTGCCGAGGATGATGTGGTGGACCACTGGGGTCCCCAGGAGCCCAGCCTGGAGCCTGCAGGCACAGAGATGGAGCCAATCACAAAAAGTGAGGATGGCAGCACTAGGACAGAGCTGGAGGAGGTTCTGCAGAAAGCAGTGCCTGGGGAGGATGAGGAGGCAGAGGAGAGGAAGAGCAACTTCAAGTGCACTGTCTGTGAGAAAGCCTTTCTGTATGAGAAGAGCTTCCTAAAGCACATCAGGCACCACCACGGGGTGGTCACTGAGGTGGTTCACCGCTGCGACACCTGTGGCCAGACCTTCGCCAACCGCTGCAACCTTAAGAGCCACCAGCGCCACGTGCATAGCAGCGAGCGCCACTTCCCATGTGAACTGTGTGGGAAGAAGTTCAAGAGGAAAAAGGATGTGAAGCGGCACGTGGTGCAGGTCCACGAAGGGGGCAGCGAGCGGCACCAATGCCAGCAGTGCGGCAAGGGCCTGAGCTCCAAGACAGCGTTGCGCCTGCACGAGCGCACACACACGGGTCACCGGCCCTACAGCTGCACTGAGTGCCAGGCCCGCTTCTCACAGCCCTCAGCTCTGAAGACCCACATGAGGTGCGTTTCCCTCCTGAAATGCCAGGGAGAACTGCTGCTCTAGGGCCTGGACCCACGCGGTGGCCTCTCTCTGTGCTTCACTGGTTACTGTGTCCCCCTAGCAGGCAGGAGGCTACTGCAAGCCATCCTTGAATTGTTTCTGGGTCCTGCTACTGTGATGCTGCTCTTCTGCTCTGGGAGTCCTGTGATGGTCCTGCAGCCTCAGGCCAAGGAGGATGCCTATACCATGCCCAGTGCCTGGGCAGAGGGCTGGGCAACCAGGCCCTAGGCTGTCCCCTCCCAGAACAGCCCCTGGTGCTTCCATTTTGCACCATCCTTAAGTTGAGGCTCCTTAACTGCATCTACCTTTTCCTGATTCTTTGTTTATAACTTGGACCTACAACCATCTAGGTCTCGCAGTCTATTAATGACCTCAGTGAGATGATATTTAGGGCTCTAGGACACTTCTCTCATTCTCTCTGTTCATTCTCTGGGCTTGGATAGTGTGCCATAGGTTAGTATAAACTCCAGAATTAGGACATTTCTTTTAATAAACTTTTGAACCATAGGCAGGTGACATTCAGGTTTTAAGTAAGTGTCCTTTCAGTGCTTGGTATTTATGCCTGAAATCCAGACAAGCATTTTTATACTGTTCTCGACCCTCAAATGGAACCAGTCTCTGGGTGGCAGCACGCTCATCACCTGCTCACATATAGTGAGTTTACAGCGTTGGCTTATCAAGTGCTCCGTAAATCGTGGTTGATGGTTGCTTCACCCTCATGCAGTTACAGCTTATGCACACTCCTCAGAAACCAGGCTTCAGCATTTTGAGAATTGTTGAGACTATGGTTATGTAGTATTAGATAATGATGGTAACATTTTCAATCATGTAGTACTTTGTCAGCAATAGTTCCTAAGGTGTTTGTGGTAGATTTTCAGAATGGGGAAGCTTTACAAATACTGCATGGTGCTATTTAGTGTTTTCAAAAATGTGCAAAGGCATGGTGGTGTCTGCCTGCACATGCCATACAGTGTACACCAGAGGGCAGATGTGGGTGGACCCTCAGTGTCCTGTGGGGAGATGTGCCTGTCTCATGGTCTGGTGTAGAAGCGGATTTGGGGGTGGAGATTATTGGTCTCTTTTCCTTTCACTTCAGCTGTTGTCATTAGATCTCTTGGAGTAAACTATTTTTTCAGACTAGAGTGAAAATTTTATTGAAAGTGAGATTTGAAATACATCCTGAGTTATCATCTGAATGTTGTACTTTCAGAATTCATACAGGGGAAAAACCTTTTGTCTGTGATGAATGTGGTGCAAGATTCACTCAGAACCACATGCTGATTTATCATAAAAGGTGTCACACAGGTAAATACTCATGCTGTTGTGATTGAATGTCTTTTTTAGGTGTAGAAGGAACCTGCAATTTATTAATTTAGAAGTTGGCATCTACCACAGTGGTGGAGACCAAAGTCATATTATAGCTTTCCCATCTAGTAAATGAGCAAAAATGAATAAAAAGATATACCCGGTGCCTCCAGTGCTGTATTGAGGTGACGGCCTTTGCACCCTAGGCTCCACTGAGTCTCATGTATCAGGAGGTGTGAAACAGTTCCTGTCGTTTTAGCCCCATATTGCATTTCCAGGAACCTGTCCTAAAGAAATTGTTCTGATATATGGGAAAAGCTATATGCTATTATTCCCCTTTTTTGCTATTTCTAATAACAGAGCATTGGAAACAACCAGATTGTCCAACCACAAGGAAGTGGTTTAGTAAGCTAATAAATGCTCTGTGTCTCGGCTCATGACGCAGCCACGCCATGGCTCTGAATGTCATGAAAAACACCTGGGCTTGGCTGTCGACTTGAATAATGCACGATTAATTGACAACTATATTGACAACCTGCACATAAGAGTAGAAGGAAATGAATTGTTACATGTATTAGGTGGAATTATCTCTACTGTTTTGCAAAATTTTGTGCTGATTATGTGAGGGAGAAAATTTAGGTTGGCTTTATTTTGATTCAGCACAGTAACCCGATACAGAATCTGTTGTATGCTAGTTATATTCTAGCCCACCTCATTATTTGCTTGCATTTAAAAAATTATACTTCTGAGCAGTGTCATATGAACACCAAGTTCAAATGCAGGCAAGACAGAGATGAGGCATTTAACAGTGTGAATTACCAGACTGTAAAATGAGAAGTGGTGTCAAATGGAAGACTGGGGATGGAGCGAGGCATCAGAATTCAGGTCACATTAAAGGATGAAATTAAGTTTTTAAGGTCATTTGATGACAGTATTAACATACCCAGATTTTATTAGAGCCAGTATTATTTTGATATTTGTGAAATCAAGGGCATACCTAACAATCACATGAGTCTGACTTGTGGGATTAAAGGACTCAAACTACAGACATGAAGTGAACATATCTTTGTCCTGTAATCTGACCCAAACTGACTGGGAGTTGCTGATTTAGAACAGGCATATATGTGCATTCAGTATACATTCCCTTTCAAGGACTTTTATTCTCATAAAGTTTCACTGAAGTGCTTCATTTAAAGAAATCCAACAATTCCTCCAAACAAGTTAGAAAATTATTTTGTTTCAGAATGACTCAATTTCTAACATACGAGCTGGCTGAATGCTCTTTTGTCCAGTAGAATCCTTCTTGGGATTTCCAAGGATATTTTCTATCATCTTTCAGCAGGTAGCAAGCACCTCAGGTGACTAGATGTCATATGATAGTTTTAAGTAGAGAATGTAACACTACCTACCCGCCAAGGCACTTTTGAGGAGCTCAGTTGCTAACTTTGTTTCATCTTTTCATGTAGGTGAAAGACCTTTTATGTGTGAAACATGTGGCAAGAGTTTTGCTTCTAAGGAGTATCTAAAACACCACAATAGAATCCATACTGGATCCAAACCTTTTAAATGTGAAATTTGTTTCAGGACTTTTGCCCAGCGGAATTCACTTTATCAGCATATTAAAGTCCATACAGGTATGGCTGCAATGTCACCAGAGAATGGAGTTCAGTGTGGCAAGAAAGATTTCTTAAAGGTTTTAGATCTACTAGAAAATTATTTGGAACTTAGCTTTACTGTGTCAAAATAGCCTTTTCAATTCTTGAGTTTTTGAAAAGGCTCTAAAAGGTATGTTTGAATATATACGTGGATATCTGAACATTTTAGTTTCAGGTTAGATAACTACCATGTTACTACCATGTACATACACACACACATGCAAATTCAGTTACTATGAGAACTGGAGTTTCATATTCCATTACTGTGGAGAAGAGGTGAAGTTGCTATAGGTGGAACACCAGCTTTGGCATTGGCCCTTCTTGCTGTGGGCCATAAGCGGGTGGTGTAGGTATAAATCTGGGCCTGGCAGTTGACCTTCAAGTTGTTCCCAACATGGCCTTCCTTATGGTGCAAATGCAGTGGCTTACAGACAACACCGTTCCGGTGAGGCATCAGAATTCAGTACAGTCAGCTGAAGAGATCAGCCAGTATTTCTTCTCTTCCTGTCTCAGGGGAGCGTCCCTACTGTTGTGACCAGTGTGGTAAGCAGTTCACCCAGCTCAACGCGCTCCAGCGCCACCATCGGATCCACACAGGAGAGAAGCCATTCATGTGCAACGCGTGCGGACGAACGTTCACGGACAAATCCACTCTGCGGCGGCACACCTCAGTAAGCAGTGGTGGTTTAACAGTGACATGTTGCTGGTCCCTGGGTATGTGACCCTAGTCAAACATGCCCATCAGCCTCCTGTGAGGTGGTTACAGAAGTTGGGTCCCTCTTGTCAGGTTTTCCCGCAATGAGTATATTCACAACACGAATGCAGGGAAGAATCCAGTCTCAAGGCCCAGAACAGAAGAGCCATGATAAATACTTCATGGGAGTGGTGGTGGCTATAGAAGGATATCTGATCATTAGTTAAAGGGTGTTCTGCTACAGTAGAAACTAATACAAGTTGAAGAAAACTTGTTTTAAAAGATGTACTCAGGTAGCCCATGATTTGGGAGGTTTACAAGTACTTGTTCAGACACACATGCAGTGACCCTTGTTTTGTGTTTGATTTGTAGATACATGATAAGAATACTCCATGGAAGTCTTTCCTTGTTATTGTAGATGGCTCACCCAAGAATGATGAAGGGCACAAGACTGAACAGCCTGATGAAGAATATGCATCATCTAAACTTTCAGATAAATTGCTGTCTTTTGCAGAAAGTGGCCATTTTCACAGCCTGGCCACAGTCCAAGGCAGAATACCTGCCATGCACGAGAACAGTTCTGCAGACACAGTCCGTAAGTCAGATGCCTCTGTGGTGTCCCAGGACACACTGCTGGCCACTGCTATCAGCGAGCTGAGTGAGCTGACCCCACAGGCTGACTCCATGTCCCCGCAGCTTCAGTCCTTAACCAACACGGAGTAAGAGCTTGAAGTTACCTGCCAAGCAAGTCCCTCTGTTTTCATGTGTGACAGCTGTGTGAGAATGTTAGGGGCTAAGAGGAAGTTGTCTCTGGGCAACAAAGTGGGCAAGAATGGCTTCTGAGGATTTTCCTCAATTTCTGCTAACTTGCACATTTCTTTCAAAGCATTTTTAAAGCCTTTCCTCAAAAATCCTGATCTGCATGGTCTCGGCTACATTTTACCAATAAGCAGTTAACATAACCTCACTGAATTTTGGTGTAGGCTGTATGTGTTATGTTCATCATTCTAATGCTTGATTACCTTGTTTAGACTGGACAACTGCTTAGCTTAACTGTATTAGACAGAACACTGACCCAGCTCATGAAGTCACTGTTAACAGTCTCCCTGGTCTCTCAGCCATCTTAGGATTCTGTGTGGTTTTAGTTCTCTTGATACTTTGAAGCTATTTTTCTATTGAGCTGAAATAAAGCTGAGACCATGTGTTGTCAGCCATTTTCCTCTCAAATTGAGGCAAATTAGATTTGCTCAGGGAACCCTCCCAAGGTTCAGAAAGAAATGGAATTATTGAATTCTCCTCCTTCCCAATTTAGGCACTAAAACAGGAATGACAAATTTACCATTTTGCAAAATACCTTCCTATATAATCTCTATTCACACTGCATATAGGCAGCTAGCAAATTTGTCCTAACTTCTGAAATAAAATGTGGCTGTTAGGTTTCATTTCTAAAATCCGATGAGGTAAAAAGCTGGTCTACCAAAGATTCTAGCTGTAAACAGCATAGTTTTTACAGAGGTGTGAAAAATTAGGAGGCTTTAGAACACTTGAAACATTGTCATTTTATTCACAAGTAACAATGAGGTAGGTAATGTTAGAACACAGATTATGAGTATTTTTGCTAGACTTTTTCAAATCCTATAATTTTTAGAAACCCAGAATTTCTCATTTCACATCAAGATGGGAAACAAGTAACTGACTCATACTAATTTCTTGGGAGCACATGGGGATATAGCAGAAGGGACCAAGAGCCATGGCATACTTATCTTTGATTATGTTCAAGAGGGGACTGAAGAACCAACAGCCTGCTCTAACTGCTCCTTGGGCTGCCTTGTGCTCAAAATGAATTTGCAATGAAAAGATAATCCTGCTGTGTTTGCCAAGCCTGATTCTTGGCTTCTGTGGCTTGGTTATGTCGCACCATGCAAAGTGCTTTGACTCATGTGTGACCCTAAACCCATTAATTTATAAAGAGAAACATGAGGAATTTTTGTTCACTAGTTGTTAATTTATTAAACTTGCTGTGAAACACTTTCATTTTCCTAGAGAAAGGTAGGTACTTTATCTGTAACTTACAGGATGAAGACATATGCCAGAAACTTTTAAGAGGGAGGATCTATTCCTACCACTGATTTTGTTCTAACTGGTAACATGTTAAAAGTAAATGCTAAAGCTCCTATATGGTTTTTAGGTGCTGCTAACATGTTTCACACTTGTAACTGAAGAAAGCAGTACTGAATTACTTCAAATTTAGTTGTGACAACAGATCCTAGTTGTGTTTACAAAGAACAAAATAGAGGCTTCACACAACCACTTTATTATTGATAATAGAATGAACCTGCCCAGCTGATGTACTATTTCAAAGAATAAAGTCATTTTAATAAGAAATTTAAATAGATTATTTTGTTACCTATTCGAAGATTTATGTCTTGAATTTCTTTTGAAATTCTACAAAAAACTGTTTAACGTGTTAATAAATGTTTGCTAGTAAAAATAGTTTTGTCAGTCTAAGTTTACTTGCATTATTAGGATGTAGGTTCTGTAGAAATAGTATAACTTCCTTAATTTCATGGATGATGACATTAAACTCAGGGTCTACAGTTCTAGGATTGCTCTACTTATAATCGCACATTTACTGAGACCCAAAGGGCCCCGTGATGAGTCACACTGGCCTCTGCTCACGCAGAAATCCATGGTGGCTGGTGTCGTGGGCTGCACGAAGTGCACATTTCTTCAGAGTAACATTAAAATATGCCACACAGACACTTCTTCTCCAGCTCTGCCCATTTCTGTTGCCCAAGAACAGAACTCCAAAGGCCCCGCACAAGACTCACTACAGAGGGATCTGTGGGGTGATGCCTGCTTCTCATTACAAGTACAGCCTTCCTTTGGGAAAGAAAGGCAGGCTCCCCTATGATGTTGGTCCTGAATCCATGATAAGCAAAGTGCCCTGGGGCTAGGCCTGCTCCAGAGCATCAGGGAAGACTGGTGAGGAGGTGTTGCAGACCTTCCCAATGTGGGAAACACACTCAGCCCAAACTCCAGAGGGCTCTGCTGCCTTTGGTTTTACTAAAATGTGTCACACCAAGTTTGAAAAAAAAGTAAGGAAAAATCTTTCTTACAGGTGATTTTAACAGAAATGTGGTTTTGCTGTAGGTGGTAATTCAACAAATTTGAGCGTAAGTTACAAATTCTAACCTGTTAAATTCCATACCGTGCCATACAAGGGACATTTCTGAGACCAAATGAGTGCTTGTCCCCTTAACTGGATGGTGTTCCCATCACTTAAAAGCAGTATTACTCCAGGGTTAGGGATGGGGAAGGGGATTCATGCAGTGGCTACTTGTGCATAGGTACCACACAGGCAACATAACTGAGCAGGCTACAAACATGGGCTGAAGGGACACTAGCATGTCAGCCTA